TACTCTAAAAAAAAACGGAACGGGAGAGGACGAGGAGAGATTCTCCTCGTGTGGTCCAGCAGCATCCCCTCCTCTCCCTCACACCCCCAACTTTCTCACCTTATCCGTTCCCCTTTCACCAAAGTTACTCGCCCGCCTCTTCCATTCATCCATTTTCCTTTTTATTATTTTCCTATTCTCGCACCCCCGCTGTGCCGCTATGCTGCGGGTAACAGGACCCGGCCCGGACCGCCCTGTCCATCGGAGTGACCTCTGCAGGCCGCCCCCCCACACCCTCCGCGCCCCTCCGCGCCCCTCCGCGCGCTCTCAACCCTGAGGCCGCCCTCCCTCCTACACGCTCACAAAAAGAGAGTGAGGTAGAATTTACCATAATTGTCCCAGTTAAAGAACTCTTCTTTTTTTTTCATCCCGGCTGAATTACTTTTATATGGGTTCTTGAACAATAATGGTGAAAGCGTAAATTTACATGAACCAGTTTTTCTGGGGTACATACGCAACATGAATCGCAAAGTAGTTGAAGTCGGGTCAGCGGTTCATGGTTCGACACTCGCGTCAAAAACCTTTTTTCTTTTCCTGTTTCTCTTTCTGGAACGTACGCCGTCCCCTGCCACGGTGGCCGCGTGGCCGCGTTGCCGCTCGGGGCGGTGCGGCCGGTCGACCTAATCCCGCTTGGACTCTTTTCATTTCGGGGATATAATTTGCAAGACAATTTGCCCCAGCGCCGGCCGCGCGTCGCCTCTGAGAGGGGCGGGGCTGGAGTTGGACAAAGAGGGGGGGGGGACACAGTGGCCCAGAAGGCCGGACGCGTTTTGAGCCCCACATGCAGCCCCACTGCAGTCGCTTACCAGGACTCGAACCGAAACGTGTGACCCCACCAATGGATTGCTCTCCGAACGAGGAATCCATTGGTGGGGTCACACGCTCCCTTCGAGTCCTGTTTAGCGACTCTGGAGCTCAAAACGCGTCTAGAGTTTCGGCCGCCGGCGCCGGTCTTCTGGCCCACTGTGGGGAGTAGGGTGTAGTAGCCGGTGTAATTCCACCCCGAGTCGCCGAGTCCTCGGCAGTACTACCAGACTAGCAGTACCGGCGCCTGTTTGAAGACACCCGCCCCAGACTTTGCCCCCCGGCCACTCGACTCTTTAAGTCGACAAGCCCCCTCCCCCTCTTTTTCCACTTGCCCCTTTGGCTAACTTTCCGAGAAGGCGACGCGGCGTGTCGATTCAAGTTAGGAGGAGAAAATGCGCACACTGTAAAAGCTTTTTTTCCCCGTTAAACGGCGGGCAGCTCCAATGTAGGTCGTGCGGTTGTTTCTTCGTTAGTGCCTTTTTTCCCTCTCTCTTTTCGTCGTGAGAGTGGCGGCAGTGGCGCGACGGAGCGGACAGAGTGGCGCGCTGGCGAGTACTGCACTCCGGACCGGAAGCAACCCATTCGCCTTGATGGCTCAATTGTTCCCCGGGGCCAGATTCCCTGACCTGGCCGAGGCTGGCCGACGCTCGAGGAGGTCCTGGCCCTCTGCCTGCGCCGGACAAGGCTTGGCGAGGGGGAGGGGGAGGGGGCGCCGAGCCAAAGTCCAACTTTTTCGTCCTCTGCGCCGCGCCGCGCCGTGTCGAATATCTAATGATTATTTTGACGCGCCGCGTCGCCAAGAATACCAACGCCTTCCTCCCCCTCCCCTCCGCTCCCCCGCGACAATGCGCCAGCAGCTGGCAACGATTATGAGGAGGCCTTCACGGCGGGGGAGGGGAGGGGGAGGGGGCGGTGACAGAAACATGTGTCGTTCGAGAAGGGGTACGGTGTTGCGAGGCTGCGAGGGGCGTGGCGGTGGTGGTGCGTGAGAGCATTGCGCGAGTGCCGCCGTTCTTGGTGGCAAAGACTATGTTCGTCTCAAGGTTTGCATTGTACGCCCCAGCTTGAACGTGATGTTGGCCGCGGGCGCTGTGTATCGCAGTGTGCTCGGCACGCTCGCCGCGGCGAACGCAAAGCCAGGCACGCTCCAGTTAGAGCGTGCAAAGCGCGCCGCAGTCGGATTTGTCGGTCGTTTCAAACGAGTTTTTCTTCTAAAATAAAAACAAACGAGTGGACCGACACTGTCCGTCCGTTCGGTCGGGAGAAAAATGAGCGCGGCCGGATGGACGCCGACTCGTTATTCGGCCGTTGTACCGATGAGTTTCTGACTGGGATTAATCTGCCGTTCGTTCGAACCCCGGACTCGGTCGTTAGCGAGCGAGGGCTTTCCCCCCGCGACCACCGCGACCACCGCGGACATGTGTTGAAGTGGTGCAGCACGGAGCCAAGTGGGGATCGGGGCGCACAGTGGGCCAGAAGACCGCTGGCGGCGGCCGAAACTCTAGACGCGTTTTGGGCTCCAGAGTCGCTGAATGGGACTCGAACCGAACGCGTGACCCCACCAATGGATTGCTCTTCGAACGAGGAATCCACTGGTGGGGTCACACGTTCGGTTCGAGTCCTTTTTAGCGACCCTGGGGCTGAAAAACGCGTCTGGAGTTTTGGCCGCCTCCACCGGTCTTCTGGCCCACTGTGGGGCGCCGAGCTGGGCCGAGCACGCCGTGCCGGTGAATATTGAGATTGAAAATGCATGACGGATTGGAGCGGAAAGTAAAGAGGGATTGTGGGTCACCCCCCTCCACCCTGCACGCGCCACTCGGGAACAAACGCGCGATGTGGAAATGATGCGCAACAGTGTGTCGACGTGAGAGCAGTGCTCTTCGCTCGTGCTCTCCGCGCGACTTCGTGCGACTCGGGCGACTCGGGATCTCGGAATGGGATTTGCGTCGACTTTTGGTCGGCGACATGCTGCGCTGGCTGCGCGCTGCCTTCTCTCTCTCTTTCCCCCCTCATCCTCCTCCTGACTCTGACGACGGCCTCCCCCAATCAGCTCGCAGCCCCGCGGCGGAATGAAACCGAATCGAAGATGACTTCTTGCTCGGCTTGCAATTACTCACAGCCATCGGCCGAGTTTTTCCGTCCGCCCGTCACGCCGGACGACGCGCAGTACATGACGGCCACGCAGTGGATTTGCGAGAAGATCGGTGGAGGCGGTCCAACTCTCGGACGCGTTTCCAACTCTAGAGTCCCTAAACGGGACTCGAACCGAACGTGGACCCCACCAATGGATTGCTCTCCGAACGAGGAATCCATTGGAGGGGTCATACGCTCGGTTCGAGTCCCGTTTAGCGACTCTGGAGCTCAAAACGCGTCTAGAGTTTTGGCCGCCGGCGCCGGTCATCCAGCCCGCTGTGCCACGGTTCGGCTGCACACTGTACACTCCGGTGCAGAAGTGTGTCTGCACAGTTAGGCCGGAGCAACACATTGGCCTTGTGGAAAAGTTTGGTTTGGAAAAAGTTTTGGAGCGTGGCGCGGCGCGGCGCAGAGCACATGACGGCTGCTATGGCCGCGTGGCGGTGTCTGTCTGGTCGGTCTGCAGTGAATCCGCCCCCCCTTTCCCCCACCTTACACTAGAAGAAAGTTTTCTTTTTCATTCATTTGGAATTGGCTTACGTCAGCCATCTTTCTTTTGACCAATCACCATTTTTCGGCAGCACTGCGTTTAACGCGCTCTTACTGCTCGTCGCTCACACTATATCTTTGAACAATCCTTGTCTAACGATCTCGCACGCCTTTCCGGTAAGTTACTGCACCACAGTGTACCTACCCGGCACGCGGCTGGAGGAGAAACAGAGCGACACGGCAGGCACACACGTCGCCCCGCCCCGCGCGGCCCGATCGCACGTCCGCCCGTCCGTCCGTCCGTCCGTCCGTCCCCGCCGCCGCCGCGCTGCACATCACCATTTTTGAAAGCGAGCCTAAATAAGAGATGCGGCATTATTTTTTCAGGGCGACTCGTGTGGGTGAGACGTGAGACTTGCCAGGCGGGCGCTGGCTGGGCCGAGCGCTGGGCCGAGCGCTGCTGGGCTGGGCTGGCCGGGCCGGGCCGGGCCGGGGGAATGCTGCTGTCTTCATTTGTCAGCCGAGGCCCCCCCCTTTCCCCCTCCCCCTCCCTCGCGCATGGCTTGGCAGTGCCCTGAACATCCCGCTCGACAAGCAAAGGGCTGCGAAGGGCCCGAAGAGCAGCGCGATATCCCGCGAGGGAGCCCTAGCTTTGAAAAATGGACGGACACACGCGAGACGCGGCCGACGTGGGGCGGCGCGGCATTCCGACTAATATTATTACGTTTTAGCGCTCCTTTCCGCCCGACTGTCCCCTGGAACCTGAAACGCACTGGCCGTCTGTCTGTCTGTCTGTCTGCCTGCCTGTCTGTCTGCCTGTCTGTCTGTCTGTCTGTCTGTCTGTCCGTCTGTCTACCTGTCTGTCTGTTTGTGCGCTTTATGCTTTTTGCCTGCCTCAGACGGAAGCGGAAGCGACCCTGCAGACCGGAGTCTGTGCTGTGTGTTGTGGGGCCGGGGGGGGGGGCATTCGTGGCGCGGAGAGACGGCCGAGTCAGCAGCGTCAGCAGGGACCGGGGAGGCGGGCCTAGGCGGGCCTGCAGGCAGAACGCCCTATAGGGCTCCCCTCCTCATAGGCGCGTTTAATCTTTTAATCTGACAAAGTGGAGGAGCAGGGTCGCCCGAGGAGGGTCCTTCCTCGGTCCTTTGCGGTCCGGTCAACATGCTGGACTGGAACCACTGGAGGAACCACTGGATCCACTGGAGGAACCACTGGAACGGCTGTGTGCCGAGTCGAGCTGAGCGGAGCGCCCGCGAGACGGGCGGTAGGCAACCCGGCGGCCGCGCCTGTGTGGAGCGACAGAGGGCTGCCTACCTCGCATTGCCATTACCATTAAGGGCTAGACCACGCAGCGCTCTCAGCGCCCGCGGACACCGAACTGTATTCGGAATGTGTGTTGGTGTTTTTGTCTTTGTTTTTCTTGCGCTTGATTCGTCACAATGATGAGGGGGTTGTGTGGGACGAGGTCGCATTGCGTGGCGAGGTGGAAATAAAATGCAAACTTGTCCGTTTGGCCGCGTTCCAGGCGTTCCAGGCGTTCCAGGCCCAGGAGGCATGCGCTGAGGCCGCGCCGAGCGACAGAGCGCCGCCGCCGCCGCCTCCCAGGCCGTGCAGGCCGTCCAGGCCGTCCAGGCCCCAGGCCCCAGGCCGCCGCCATGGACTACATCCGCGAGTTCGACATCCGGCTGGACCGCGAGATGTACTACGCCGGCGAGACCATTGTCGGCCACGTCCTGCTGGACACCATCGAGAACTTCAAACTGCGAGGTGAGTCGTAAAAACGGCGGGACGTCGCCGCCGCCGTCGGGATGGCCGCGGGAGTGCATGGGGAATGGGCTGGCTGGAGCCGCGGCGGCTGCAGTCCGATTCCGATCTGTCTCTGTCTCGCCGATGCGGCTCGCCGCGTGAGTGCGACAGAGACAGAGCGACGGACGCGACTCTCGGAGTGGGGCTGCTGGAGCCGATACGTGCCCGTGATTTGGTGCACAGATAAGAGCGCAGGGATACCCCCGCCCCGTCCGACTGCAAAGCCCCGTCGACCAGCATGCCCGTTCTGGAATTCCCCCCCCCCCCCCCGTCCCCAGGCGCGGCCACATGCTGTCGGGGCGGCTTTAGGATGCCCGCAGGTTGCGGCGAAACGGCAATGGAACCCACAGCCCGGCCGTGCGCCCCGTCGAGCCCCTTCGTTAGGGGCGGCCGAGCTCTACCGCTCTCTCTCGCACTCACGGGGCGTGCCGGCGGGCCGGCCTGCCGCTGGGGTGCGAGAGAGACTTCCGCGCTCAGCCTGCAGGTGTGGGCCAGGCAGCGTGGCAACCATTTCGCCAGGCATCGCCGGCGATTCACGACGATTCATTCATCATGCAGCGGGTGGCACGGAAGGGCTCATCACCATTAGCAGAAACTCCCTTCGAGACGACGCGTCTGTCTGTCTCTCTCGCACCCATGGGTGAAAGGAAGACAGAAAGACGGACGGACGTCCTCTGGAACAGAGGCGCCGCCTCTGATGTAAACTACAATTTAAATTCATTTCACGTCCCCTTATTTTATTTTTTCCGTGTCTCACTAAAAGCGAAACAAAAAGAAACACGGAACTTTCCGAGTTAAAATATGGAGCTTCCTCTTCCATGAGCTGCGCGGCGGTTTTAGCCGCCAAGCCACCTGTCTGGCTCGCTGTGCGGGACACCCCCCCCCCTTTCCCCCACTCCCCGTTCCGCCCCGGGCGAGCCATCACGTCTCATTAAATACCGCTGTGGCGCTGCCCTCGGAGCGCCGCCAAGGTTTGTTTAATTTAACGCCAGACTGCCGTACTGCCGTGGCACGCCGGGCCGAGGCGGCCGAGGCAGCGCTGTCTTCGCACCAACAATCTCTCTCGTCTCGTCATTCCGTCCCGACGCGCGTCATGCGCACGCCCGGGCGGACAGACAGGCAGACAGGCAGACAGACAGACAGACAGACAGACAGGCAGACAGGCAGACAGACAGGCAGACAGGCAGACAGACAGACAGACAGACAGGCAGACAGGCAGACAGGCAGACAGGCAGACAGGCAGACAGGCAGACAGGCAGACAGGCAGACAGGCAGACAGGCAGACAGGCAGACAGACAGGCAGACAGGCAGACAGGCAGACAGGCAGGCAGACAGGCAGACAGGCAGACAGACAGACAGACAGACAGACAGACAGACAGGCAGACAGGCAGACAGGCAGACGACGCAGAAGCAAAAGGGGTCGTCGGAGAAAAGATGAGAACGGCGTCTATGATTTGCTGCTGCAAAACAAATGTCCCAATGCAAAGATAAAAAGGCGGGAGGAAGTTGTTTTCTTCTTCTTCTTCTTCTTCTCGTCGGGAAGCCGCGCCGGCTCGGCTCGCGTCGGAACGTCTCACGGACAAGGCGGCAAGGCGGTGGGGCGGGGCCGGGCGGGGCGGGGCGGGGCGAACTGCGTCGCACCAACGAGCGGGGAGTCTCGCTCTCGCCTTTTACTTTCATTCCCACCGACCGCGAGGCGAGGCGAGGGCGAGGCCAGGCCAGGCGATGGGAGCGGTAAACAACAAGTCAGAGTTCGGCGCGCGCGGACTGCCACGCCATAAAATTCTCTCTCCGCCACGGCAAAATCATCGTGTATCAACACGGCGGTGGGAACAACTTTGTAAAAACAAACAGCGAGCCGACCGAGCGGCGAACCGCGAATCAAACTACTATAGACATTGGAAGTGCACCGCCGCCGCTCCCGCAGGGCCCTGCAGGGGTCGGCGTGATGTGACCCTGCCCCGCTGACCTTCGCACGGTGACATTCTGACATTTGGCGGCCGCAGCAGCCTCGCACGTGCATCCCCCCTCCCCTCCCTTCCTTTCTCTCCCCTCCCCTCCCCTGCCTCTCGCTGCATCGCAATGCGAAGCCAGCGACGAGCTAATGAGACAAGTTTTGCCGGAGGGAGTATTTCCCCCTCCCCTCCCCTGCCGCTCTCCTCGGAGTTTGATTCCGTTAATATTTGCCAACAAACTCCGCGGCTCACGGCGGAACCCGGGAACACGGGGCAACGGGGAACGGAACGGGAATTCGCCCCGCAGATTGATCGTCGGAAAATACTTTGCAGCTGTTTAGCGCGCGGGGGCCGCGGCAGGTTCATTTCGGACGGCGGCGCTTTCGTCGCTCTGTCTCTCTCGCACTCGTGCGGTGTCGCCTGGGCGAGCCTGGGTGTGCGAGAGAGACGGAGCGACGACGGCGCCGTGCGGCGTGCAGCGGCCAGGCCGGCCGAGCCAGGCGAACAGGGCGAACACGGGCGAACACACCGCCAAAGGCAACTTCAGGGCCAGCACGGCCAGCTCGGCCAGCCCACGCACCGGCATGCCCCGGCACTGCGTTCGAGTGAGGCTTTGGGCCCTTGGGGCTTCGACCACTGTGCCTGTCAGAGCGAGGGCACATTGGTCCCTCAGGAAATCCCTGAATGTTCTCAGACATCCCTGATTCCCCTCAATCATGAGCACCGCTTTCCCACAAAGGGGGCGGGGCCTCCAGGGGGCGAGGGGCGAGGCGGGGCGAGGCGGGGCGAGGCGGGGCGAGGCGGCATTTTGATTTATTCCAAGATCCCCCGGCCCGACCCGACCCGACCCACTCCCCGTCCCGTTCACTTTCTTAGGGATTCCGGACACGGCGGCTTAGGACTGAAGGACCCGGGAGGAACATTCGGTCTGTCCGTCCATCTGTCCCCTTGTCCGTCTGCATGCCTTTACGCTGTGCGGCTCCCAGTGTAGCAGGAAATTTTTTTCCTCGATGCAGCAGTATTGAACCAACCTCGGCTTACGCACAAGAAGTTGCCTTCAATTATTTTTTTCTAGTGGTGGCAACACTGCTCAACGGAGCGGCCGCTTGTCCGTCTGGGCAGAGCGCCCGCAGAACGGCGCATAGGCAACCCGGCGGGCACGGCTGCTCACAGCGCGAGAAGTTGCCTACGTCGCAGGCGCTCTGGCTGGGCAAGGCGCCTCAGTTGAGACTTTAGGGGTTCTTCTTTTTTTGTTGTTTTTTGTCTTTCTTCAGCTTTAAAAAAAAAGATTCAACTGAGGCTGGCGACGACGCGCGATTGTCTGCGCTCCGCGTCCTTTTGACAACGTCCTCCGTGAAGTCCGGACGTCCTGAATGGCCTGGATGGCCTGGATGGCCGCCCTCCGACACTTGTTGCGCGGGAAGGTGCGCACGGCGAGCGGCGTGCATCCTTTGTGTCGCCCGGCAGCCCCCGGCACGCACAATGTGACAGCGGCAAACAACAACAACAACAATGTGGAGCTCCGAAACGCGCGCTGCCTGGCGACTTATTCTCTCTTCCCGCCATGGACAGCGAGCGATTGTATGAAAAGCTGGGAAAGCGGGAAAAGCCTCTTCCACTCTCAAAGCTTCGACTCTCGAACTCTCGACTCGGCTCTCGACTTTTGGCTCGACTCTCGAACTCTCGACTCGACTTTCGACTCTCGACTCGAAAGTTTTTTCCCGAGGGTGTTGCCTCCGGGGAATATTGCGCGGCGGCCGCGAAGCAGGGGAGGGGGAGGGGGAGCGCTGCGCAAAATTATCCTTGCCAGTTTCATTTCTCTTGGCGAATCGATTCGATTCCGTTATTCGATTACTCGATTCCATTACTCGAGTCGCTTAGCTGCAGCGAATCGTGGCGCGTGGCGGCGCGTGGCGGCGCGGAGAATGGAACAAAAAGAAAAGGGGACCGGATCAAAGGACGCGGCACTTTCATTTAGGTTATCTTTTTCATTTGCCTTTCGTTCGTTTATTACCTCCGCCCCCTTTATGCGCGGCTCCTGAGTGCAAACTTTCCGCCGCCGGCATGCTGTGACAATATCGCGCGTGTGCGGCGTGCCTGTGTTCGTCCGGTCCGTCCTGGTTGTAGTCTGGAGCACAGTGTACCCTGTTTTCACCTGCCGGTTCCCGTTGGCTTGGCTTTGCCGGCGAGGCTGGGAGCGAGGCAGCCAGGCAGCGGGGGTAAGCAAGGCCGACACTGGATGTGACCTTCAACTTGGAGGATTGGCAACGAACCGCGCGTGGCGAAGCACCGCGACGAAACACCGCGAAGCACCGCGACGCACTTGCACCGAGTCAACAAGTGTTTTGCATTTTTAAAGAACCTGCTTTTCGAGGAGGGGGAATCACTCGCGATTTTTGTGTACAGAGAATATGAATATCTATGAATATTCTGAATGTCAAGAATGCTACTGCGTCCCCACCCAAGGCGGGAAATCGTACGCCCTAAACGGGGCGGTATTCTTTGATGCTTCTTTTAGCATGCCTTTTTCTACGGAGTGCGATGTTCCGCCTCGGTCCCGGAGCCGTGTTGCCGTAAAGTTGGTCGAAACGGTGACAAATGTGTAGGAGTCGTGTTTTGTTTGGTGACTTTCGACGAGATTTCTTTTCCCGTAACAACCCCTGGGGAAATATACGGGTCGTGGAGCCCAAGGATCGAGCGGGGATAGTCATACCAATAAACTAATTCGGAAGGAGTTCGGCGACTCCCTCGGGGGGCACGGCTCTGATTGTGTTACTCGTCTGTTAACACCCCGCCCCGCCCCGCCCCGCCTCTTGAGCGAGACGGTGCAGCGCGCAGCCCCCGGCCCGCTTGGCGCGCTAGGTGTCTTTGGCTGGCGTCCAAACGGCATGCCCGTCTGCAGACTGATTCCGAGACGGTCGCTCTGTCTCTCTCGCGGCCGATCGGGCCGCCGCGCGCCCCACGAGTGCGACAGAGAGAGCGCGAGAGCCCTCGGAATCAGTCTGC